TTTCCCCGGCAATCCTGCTCCTGCCTGTCCACCAGATGTCAGGAACACTCAGGAAATGGGATGAGCACCTCTCTGCCCGCTCGCCTTCCGGCCCGGCGGTTTCCCTGTGGCACTTCCCAGCGCAGGTCTCCCCAGCCTCTGCTGACCCCCAGCCCCTCAGACCTCCCCACCAGGGACCCCCGAGCCACCCCGGGCTGGGACCCCACTCACACAGCAGGATGAGGGCGATGAGCAGCACGATGAGGACAGAGATGCAGAAGATGAGTGCAAGCCGTCGCTGGCTCATGCAGGGAGCTCTGAACATGGAGGATCCTGGCAGCAGGGCAGAGGCAGGGTCAAGGGGGGCGGCTGGCACCCCCCAGGGCCTGGACGCGGCCACTTCGGCACTTGCCGGGACCTCCCTGGCTCCCCGCGCGCCCCGCTCCCCAGAGGGCCCATGAGATGTGGGGGAGCAGGACCACACACATCCCGCATCTCCCCATGGTGTCCTCTCATCCTGCCATGGTCACTGTCCTCTCCCTTGCTCCCAGCACTCCTCAGATCCCCAGGGAAACACCAGCCTGTGGCTGAGGTTTATGCCAGCAGTGGGCACAAGGACCCGTTCCCTGTCTCCCTTCCATCCCTCCCCACCCTAGGTGGGACCAGGGCCAGGGTGGCCAGAGACCAGCCTCGGCACCATCCTCTTACGTGTGCTCTCACAGGTCGTGCAGGGGGCCGGGGCTGGGCTGGACTCCGGGCTGTAGGGCTTGAAGCTAATGCCAAGGACACTTTCTCGAGGCTGTGGAGGTCGGGCACTGAAGATGCTGCTGACTGTAGAGGCATGGAGGCTGGGAGGGACACTGCTGGGCGATGCCGTGGTCTGTGAGCAGAGGAGACCATTACTCGCAACTTTGATCAGAGTAGTCAGCTGGGTATTTGGTATTGGGTCAGTCATGCTGTGGCCCAGTTCCATGGGGCTAGTGCCCCAATTTATGCATCTGTCCTTAATTAGCCATTTGAAAAATACAGTGCAATTTCCAGCTGTTATTTAGTAATACTTAATAATCGGTGTTTTCCAAGCCCTGAAACGTCCTGCACCCTGGAATGCTGTTCTGCAGTTGTGTCACTCCTGATCCATGAATTCGCAAAAGAATATGTATTTGTTTCCTTTCCTCAAGACACA